GTCCCTTGTTTTTTGCAGTGCCCTGCCAAACCGTTTTAGACTATTTGAAGATGGTCCTTCAGCATCACAATCAACTGATGATGCCTCAGGCGGTGGAGCAGCCGGCAGAGGTAGGTCTCCATGGGGATAAGAGGGCGGCACCAGGAGGCAGGTTTGGTCCATATGAGCTCTCTGAAAAAAAAATGAGTCGGTCCTTGATGGATGAGTTTCACTTGTTTAAACAAAGGTGAATCCACCTTCTTATTTCTCACGGCTATCCCTGGAGACTTAACTGGGGTGCCACCTGTCAGAAATGGCGTAGGGTCTCCTGCCTGGGTTGGACTAGATGACCCACAAGGTGCCTTCCAACTCTGTTAAACCTTCACATTAAGCAGCGTGCGTGCTCATGTTCAAAAAGGCCCTTCCTCTCTTTTGCAAGCCTTTGTCCCTTTAGCTAGCACCGTTCTTCTTTGGGCTGAGCGCATCGTGGATGGCTGGCGCACTGTTGCAAAACTTGATTGCATCCAAAGGATGTTGCTTGCCAGAACCTGTGCTATTCCGTGGGAGGTGCGGTGGTGAGTTAAGTGTTAATGAGGTTGCTGTGCATATATTAAACAATAATTGAGCTCGAAACAAGATGGGAGGGAAAGAGGGAGGGAGAAAGGGAGGGAGGGAGGGAGAGAGAGAGGATGGATCATATATATAGGATGGATACAGAGAGAGACAGAGGGAGGGAGGGAGGAAGAGAGAGAGAGAGACAGAGATAGGATGGATCACACACACACACACACACACACACACACACACATATATGATGGATACAGAGAGACAGAGGGAGGGAGGGAGAGAGAGGAACGGAGAGGGAGATATGATTTGAATGGTGTCATTCATAATTAGATCAGATTTATTATCTCTTACCAAGAAACAGTGATCTTCCAAAGTTGTTTCAACAATAAGATTTATATTGCTGCTAAACTAACTTCTCTGTTGACAATTTGACCTAAATCTTGCGCTTAACCTCAAGACCAGTTTCATGCAGAATAAATTCAGGAAAAATATAAAGGGGACTTTTATGAGCCAGGCATCCGAAGTATGACATATAGATAGGACAGCCTTTATTAGTTTACTAGCTGGATACCCGTGCTTCGCTACGAAACTGGGATGGGCTTAGATTTTGGGGAGGAAAATAAGAAGAAAAAAAAATCTGCCTACCAGCATCCATCGGTATTCATCTGGCTAGTGTCCTGTTCAGTGTGTGAGAGAGTTGAGGGCTGTTTGGAAACTGAAAAAGTATTTGCTGTGTGAGCAAGAAGGAGACAGCAAGGAGCCTGGGCGTGGCTTAGCTCAACTGTTCTGTACTAAAGCTGCCTGGGGCTGTGAAACTGAAACTCCTCTCCTCTGCTTTTGTGTTTTGCATTTAGAAGAGATTTCTTTTCAGGTGGGGAGGGGGAGTAGAATTCCTTAGCATCAGAGCATGTTAATAATAATAATATAGGAAATACTAATACTCTGATGGTCATTTCGAACAATCCTTTCTTAGTGAGCCCCTAGAAGCCAAGAGGAAGATATGTGCCAAATTTCCAGTTTGAAGGCTTTACAGTTCTGGAGATTTTGTGATGAGGCATATAGTGGTCTTCCTCCTTTTATATATTGATCAAAGTTTAAATGCACAGTCCTTCCTTCTTCTTTCAATGTTTGAGTGTGCATTTTAATTGAATGTCCGTAAGCTGCTTATAGTCGGTTCTGGTGAGATGATCTGCGCATAAGTTAGCTAAATAACAATACATTTATCTAATTCGTTTATCGCATAAATTAAATATATTTGCCATAGGTGCATTGGCCGCCTCGAGTTGTTTATAAAAAATAAGAAATAAAGTCTTCGGCTCAAGCAGGGGGTTGACTAGAAGACCTCCAAGGTCCCTTCCATCCCTATTATATTATGTTCCTATGCTCATTGAATAAAATAAGACTATTCAGAGTTGGGTGGTTGTAGCTACTTTCACCAGGAAAACAGGAAGCAATTTTCCCCGACAATTGTGATAACATTCACCAAAGTAATTATACTATATCGATAAAGGAATATAGCTCAGGGTTGAAATGAGGGGGCCCTTGGAGCTCTCTGAGCTTGCTGGTTTTCTTGAAGACCTTTCATGACCCAGCTGGGTAATATCATCAGTGCTAGTCAGGAGTGTGGTTTGCTCTAAGTTTATATTCTGGTAGCTTGCCCTGTCTGTGTTGGTGGAAATGGGCTTAGAGATCTTTTTAGTTGGGCAGTTTACTGATGGCTCTTTGGCAGTTTCTTGATTCTTGTTGACTTGACAGTTGATCTGATGTTAACCTTGGAGTTAAATCTATGCTGATCTGCAAGCTGATTCGTGGTGGAGAAATGCTGGAGTCTTTTGGGGGGGGGTGTTCTCTTTTGGGCTGGTTGATTGTTTCTTCTGCATAGTCTACAGATGTTCTAGTGTTCTCTTCTAGTGAAGAGAAGAGAAGAGAAGAGAAGAGAAGAGAAGAGAAGAGAAGAGAAGAGAAGAGAAGAGAAGAGAAGAGAAGATAGCAGTCTTCCAATATTTGAGGGGCTGCCACAGGGAGGAGGAAGGGGTCAAGCTATTTTCCAAGGCACCCGAAGGCCAGACAAGGAATAATGGATGGAAACTGATCAAGGAGAGATTCAACCTGGAAATAAGGAGATTTTTTTTTCTGACAGTGAGAACAATCAACTAATGGAACAGCTTTTCCTTGGAAGTTGTGGGAGCTTCATCACTGGAGGCTTTCAAGAAGAGACTGGATTGTTATCTGTCAGGAATGATGAAGGGTGTCCTGCTTGAGTGGAGGTTGGACTAGATGACCTACAAGGTCCCTTCCAACTCTGTTAGTCTGTATTCTGCTCGTTCTATCCATCCATCCATCCACCCACCCACCCACCCACCCACGCACCCATCCATCCATCATCCATCTATCTATCTATCTATCTATCTATCTATCTATCTATCTATCTATCTATCTATCATCTATCTATCTATCTATCTATCTATCTATCTATCATCTATCTATCTATCTATCTATCTATCTATCTATCATCTATCTGAAGAATGGTTGCAGGAACTGGGATATGGCTGGTCTAGTGAAGAGAAGGACATGGGGATACACAATAGCAGTCTTCCAATATTTGAGGGGCTGCCCCAGAGAGGAAGGGGGTCAAGCTATTTTCCAAAGCACCCAAAGGCCAGACAAGGAATAATGGATGGAAAGTGAACAAGGAGAGATTCAACCTGGAAATAAGGAGAAACTTTCTGACAGTGAGAACAATCAAACCCTGGAACAGAAGTTGCCTTCGGAAGTTGTGGGAGCTTTATCACTGGAAGCTTTCAAGAAGAGACTGGGCTGCTATTGGTCAGAAATGGTGTAGGGTAGTCAAATAACAGATAACAGATAATCAAAGTTGGAAGGGACCTTATAGGTCATCTAGTCCAACCCCCCCCCGCCCAAGCAGGAGACCCTACCTTTCTGAGCAGGGGGTTGGACTAAATGACCCACAAGGTCCCTTCCAAAGCTATTAATTTGTAATCTGCAATGTTGTTTATGTCTACGTGTCTATTGTTCACTGATTTGCCAGACTTCGAGAAATTCCCTGGCCTTTTTGGACTTGGCCCGGTTTAGAATGGTCCCATTTTCCCCAATTGAAACTATGGTTAAGTCTGTCTAGACGTTGTGCAATTAAATCATTTTCATTCATGCCTTCCGACTGCCAGTTGATGTTCCTGGATACATTCAGCCAGCCTGTTCGTCCTACATAGTGGTTGTCATTGCAGTCCTTACATTGTATGTTGTGGATAACTCCTTTTTTCCCTTTCTCCTGGGGCTGCTGTGTCTTTTGGTCGGCTTAGGATAATTATGCTGTATGCATGCGTGCAAAAATCATTAATAACCATGCGGTTTGGATCCAACCCTTTCAACTCTTATTTACTGTGGCTGTAGTGCAATGTAACTGCTGTGGCTCTTAAGAGCACAACACAAAAGGAATCGCCTCAATTTTATGTAAATAGGTTTGTTAAAATAATAATTTCTGGAGTAGATGTTTGCCATTTGCCTGAAAAGCCCTGTTGGATTCCTACCATTCCAAAGGTGTTTTTTTTTACACCTTTTAATCAATGAATGGAAAATAAGATGCTTCACTAGTTTTTTTGATCCCTGAATCTTGGCACTCTTTAACTCACCTGCAAAAGCACATTATAAATAGCATCTTCTGTTTCCAAGGTGTTCCCGTTCTATCTCACTCTTCCTGTTTGACAAAATGCAAATTGCATTCCGCTTTGTTTACAGTGTTATTAAGATGAATAATCCCTTGCTCCTGGCTGTCAGTTTGGATTAAAAATTTGCCTACTGCATTTGACAATGGCCTTGTTTTTACTTCTGTGTATCTGTCATTTGAATTCCACCTTCTTTCTCTTTCTCCTTTTCCTCCTGACCAACTGGGAATGCTGGTTGTGATGGGGTTTGTGCTCGAGCAGGGGGTTAGACTAGAAGACCTCCAAAGTCGCTTCCAACTCGTTATTGTTATCCTGTTCTGTTTTTCTGTTATTTTACACAGTTACTCTGCTGTTCTGTTATTCTGCTTTCTGTTATTCTGTGGTTATTGTTATTCTAATATTTTGATTTTCTATTTGTTATCCTGTTCTATTCTTATCCTATTATTCTATTGTTATTATGCTATTATGTTATTCTATTGTGTCTTATCCTACTGTTATTCTGCTACTCTATTCTGTTGTTCTGTTATTCTGTTATTTAGTTGTTATTCTGTTAATGATGTTATTCTATTGTTATTCTGTTATTTGTTGTTCTGTTATTCTCGTATTCTTCAGTTATTCTCATTTTATTCTGTTATTCTGCTATTCACTGTTATTCTGTTATTCTTCTGTTATTCTATTATTGTTATTCTGATATGTTGTTATTCTATTGTTATTCTGTTACTCTATTATTGTGTTGTGTTATTCTGCTATTCCAGTCTTTACTCTATACTGTTATTCTACTATGTTATTCTATTATTGTGTTGTGTTATTGTGCTATTCCAGTTGTTACTCTATGCTGTCATTGTGTTATTCTGCTATTTTATTCTGTTACTCTGTTATTGTGTTATTCTGCTTTTCTATTATTCTGTTCATGATGTTATTCTGTTGTTATTCTGTTATCTCTTGTTCTGTTATTCTCTTTTTCTTCTGTTATTCTTCTTATTCTGTTCTGTGATTCCGCTACTCTCTTATTCTGTTTTTAATTCTGTTATGTTCTTCTATTCTGTTGTTCTGTCATTCTTAGGGGAGCAAGCAATTGCTGAACAATTACCCCGTCTTCATCACTAGCAAACAGTGGGACGAGGCCGTCAACTCCTCCAAGAAAGACGGGCGGCGTCTCCTTCGGTACCTCATCAGATTTGTCTTCACAACCGATGAGCTTAAGTACTCGTGCGGCCTTGGGAAACGAAAAAGGTCAGTGCAGTCAGGAGACACTGGTCCTGAAAGACGCCCTCTGGATCCAGTGAAAGTAACATGTCTCAGAGGTACTGCATGTTTTCACTCAACGTCCACCATGCACAATCTCATTTCACCACATTAGACATGCGGGAGAAACGGGAGGGTCTTCTTTGGGGGGAAAGTCCTGGAGCTTAGATGGAGCCACCCTTTCCAGAGAAAGCAATGGAGATGGCACCTCTCTTTGGATCCTTTCCTCCAAGCGGGTCTCAACCTGAGGGTTGAGGAAACCCTCAGGAGATCCACGATAGACGATGGGAATCTCCTTTCCCTCTAAAATTCAAGTCCAAAGAGGGTGATGTCTTCTCCTCGGTTGCTTTTACTAGATCCCAATGAGGTCTTCCTGGACCAGGGGTCGGCAACCTTTAACACTCAAAGAGCCACGAAGGTTCTAACTGGAAGCCCCCAGTTTAATTCTGAAGCCAACCAGAAGTCCGGTTCCCCCACCATAGAGTTTCCTCCTAGCACAGCGTTCTTTTTCCTCTGCCGACTGGATGTCCGGTTCTCCCACCATAGAGTCTCCTCTTAGCGCAGCATCCTTTTTCCTCCACTTGTCATAACCAAAAGCCCTATCAATTGTGGAGCTGACCAGTAACAAGGAGCCGCAGCAGAGGGATGAAAGAGCCACATGCGGCTCCAGAGCCGCAGGTTGCCCACTCCTGCCCTGGACCAATCAGTGACACCTCACACACTCATTCCCCAATGAGCCCATTGCCCTCCACACATCCTAAGACCATGATGGCGAACAGGTGGCACACAGAGCCATTTGTGCAGGCACGCAAGCCCCAGACAAACTTACCTGCACTGCGCATGTGTGCACCTTCCAGCGATTTCTGGCCCATTTGAAGCCTTTTTCGGCCTCCTGGAGGCTTGAGGGAAGCCTCTGCAGTCTCAGGAGGCCAAAAAATGGGCCTTCCAGAAATGCCAGAAGTGCCAGAACCGGAAGTGATGAAACAGGCCCGTTTTTCAGCCTCCAAAGGCTGCAGAGGCTTCCCTCGAGCCCCTAGTAGGCCGAAAAAGGCCTCAAATGGGCCAAAAATCAGCTGGGAGGCACACACATGTGCAGTGCAGGGGGAGTGTTATGCACGCATGCACAAGGGGGGAGGGTTGCATTGCATTGTGGGTGCCGGCATGCGCATGTTTACGATCTTTCGGCATACCACAACAAAAAGGTTCATCATCACTGTCCTAAGATCTGCCTCAGCCTACTAAAAGATTACACACCTCCTCTTGATGGCTTCCTGGACATGTCCATCTGGTTTTCTTGGCCGTCGGTACCGACGTGGTTTGCTACTGTCTTCTTCTATTTTCTTCCTTCTTCGTTTCTTCCGAAACTCTTCTATAGCTCTGGAGATCTCCTGTCTGGCTCCTGTCCAAGCTCAACCCTGTTTACCTCTAGAGTACAAACAAGGTTGCTTAGTCTGCCAATCTTGTTAGTCAAAATAATGCATGAAGCATCCGTGTAGATGAAGGTTTGAAAAGAACCGAACGCTATTATCACAAACTCAATAGTTATTCCTATTTCAGGAGGAGAAAAAAAAGAAATCTCCTTGCTCAGTAATTTGCACTACAATAAATGCACAAAACTACTCATGATGTGCAGGGGCTCCTTTCTAAAACTGGACTTTTATTTATAGCAGGATATTATTGTTAAGAGAGCTTTGATAGAAATAGAAGAGCCCTTGATCCACATTTTCAAAGCTTCGATCTTAACCCAGACCGCCGTGTTGGGTGAGATCCTTGTGCAGTTCTGAACAAATGCACCTGGCTCTCCAGCGTGGGAAGCACGACATTGGTCCAACGTGAGGTCAAGTCCAGTTGTGTGACAGGATGGATGTTCTCCAAATTTAAGCTTTTGGTTCGAAGAGAAATGAATTTGTCCTTGGAAGTTCTTCCACTTGGCTTCAGAATCAAACCATCTCTCCGAGACCATTCCTTCTGTTGAAGAGCTGAGGTTGTGTCCATGCTACAAACTTAGAAAAACACAACAATATGGGGCGGAAAGGCAGCATTTAGCTACGTAGAAATTTTTTTTTTCTTTTTTTAAATTCCTTTGCAAGCAGCTGGGCCGGCCCTGGAGCCATCCCCAAACCATTTTGGGGATTTCTAAGTTTCTTCAAGCAGCTTCTTTTCTCCATTGTTCCTCCACACTCAACACACACAAAAAAACTCCACCAGGATAAATTGCACAAAACCCAATTGTGGAAGAAAACAAGAACGCTGATGTTCTTTGATTGCCGAGATTCGTTTCTATGTTTAGACGTAAGATAAACAGTCATCCATACCTAAGTTTCCTAACCCTTTCTTGGCTCCTTGGCTGTAGATATCCTTCCACTTTCCATGCATTGCATCCCAACAAGTTTTCCTTCCAATGATCCATTTTGCTTGGTACTCCAGGCGGTTTGAGCACCTTACAAAATCTGCTCCGTTTTGGGGGAATCTGGTTTGGGGAACACTTTCCCCGCAAGGCTGCCAATGAAAAATCAAACTTGTAAGGTGGTATCTTGCCGGGTTATTGACCTGTTAAAAAGCTGCATGTCCATTGTCCATACTTCCGCCGCTGGCCCAGTTCACAAGACCATTTCTTCACAGAATGGGACAACTGGCCACAGCCAATGCCGTGTGGCCAAATTGCCACGGCCAACCTGCTGAAGGACAACTCAGCATGGCCAACTCACCATGGGACAACTTTAACAGTTCCACTTAATTCTTTTCAATAAATAAAGAATTATTTTAATTCTTGACATTCACCTTTCGTTCGGTCCCTTCTTCTGCATTGCTCCTTTCTTCCATGATTGTATTCCACTATTTTCTTTGGTATTTGTGGAACTCTTGTCCTGCAGCACGCTCTCTTGCAATGAGTTGTCTTGCAATGAGTTGACCATGGCAACTTGGCCATGACAAGTTAGCTGCTGCAATTTGGCCATGGCAAGTTGGCCGCTGCAATTTGGCCGCTGCAACTTGGCCATGGCAAGTTGGCCGCTGCAACTTGGTCATGACAAATTGGCTGCTGCAATTTGGCCATGGCAAGTTGGCCGCTGCAAATTGGCCAAGGCAAGTTGGCCGCTGCAACTTGGCCATGACAAGTTGGCTGTGACTAGTTGGCCATGTTGAGTTGTCATTGACCCACAGCTTCAATACCACTGGAGCTCACCTGCTGATTTCTTCACAGAATTCATCCGGATGCATTGCACCTCTAACCCGGATTGGTGGATGCCTTCCGAAGAACAGATCAACAAGGTTTTCAGCGATGCGGTGGGACACGCCCGGCAAGGAAGGGCGGTGGGGACTTTCCTGCACAACGGGAACATGTACTATGATGGGATTGACCAACACAGTTGCCATGAGGACCTCTTCGGTAGAGGTATCCACGATGGCTCTGGAGACTGACGGCAGGAAGGAACGGCAATCCAGACGAGGACGCCGGCGAAAGACAAGCGATTGGATGTTTGGTGTTCTGTTTTAATGTGAATTAAGGACCAGAGCATGTTGAAAATTGAGTTTTGTGTCCAAGGGGGGTACGTAAAAGTTGACTCCTGCAGCCAGATGGGCTGGTCTGCGGTTCCCATTGCCTTCCCTAGAGTGTGGTTGTGCTGTCATTGACGCCGGATGGTGAAAAGCCTGGTTTAAACACTCATCTTGCAAGCAGAAAAGGGACTACAGGTAATCTCTGACTTACCATTACATTTAGTGACAACGAAGTTACAATGGCACTGGAAAAAAGCAACTTATGACCGTTTTTCATGCCTACGACCTTCGCAGAATCCCCATGGTCACGTAATCAGACCCTTGGCAAGTGACTCACCTTTACGACGATGGCAGTTCTCATACTTCTGACTGCAACCATCATAAATATGAGGCAGTTGCCCAAGGATTTGAACTTGGATTGCGGGATCCTGGGGAGAGGGGGGGCTGTTGCAACCGTCATGCGAAAAACCGTCCTGAGGTCCCCTTTTTGTCAGTGTGCCGATGGAACGTCGGAACACTCCCTAAGCGAATGGTTGTAAGTGGACAGCAACCTGTAGGGACATTTCCCTGGAATTGAAGAATATCCAAAAGAGCAGCACAGGGTAGGGGAAAAAATCTGCTTTGTTTGGAGAGTTGCCAGTAATCCATATTTGTGTTTATGGCTTTTCTTGAGAAGGCGCTTAAATGATCCTCCTGTTCTAGTAGGTCTGCATTAATCAATCAAAGCCAGGTTAAGAGAAAGGATGCGTTGCGCTGCAGTTTTTCTCTCCTCGTTTCATCAGGTGTACTCATGATTTTGCTTTTAACCAACCCTTTGTCACGTCTGTCTGTCTTTCTTTCTTTTCTTTTCCTTCCTTCCTTCCTTCCTTCCTTCCTTCCTTCCTTCCTTCCTTCCTTCCTTCCTTCCTTCCTTCTTTCCTTCCTTCCTTCCTTCCTTCCTTCCTTCCAGAAGGGGTATTCAGCAGGTTCTGACCAGTTCTGGAGAACCGGTAGCAGAAATTTTGAGTAGTACGAAGAACTGGCAAATCCCACCTCTGACTGGAGATTTTACAGTATCCTTCCCCTGCCACACCCACTAAGCCACGTCCACAGAACCGGTAGTAAAAGAATTTGAATCCCACCACTGCTTCCTTCCCTACCTTCCCCTACCTTCCCTTCCTTCCTCTTTCCTTCCTCTTTCCTTTTTCTTTCTTTCCTCTCTGGACATACTGAGAATATGTCAGCTGAACAAAACTCCGCATCGGCAACATGAAAGGCATCCGGCCAGTAAACCCTTTGCTAGCTCCATTCAGTTGACCAGACTCCACCCTGCAAGGGATTATGGGGTCATTAAAAAGAGATTGTGATTTAAAGACCATCTTTATGAATTAAAGCTAAAAGGCAGTCAAAATATCCACAAGGAAGGCCATTCTGAGTATAACAAAAACATCAAACTGGGAGTCCCAAAGGTGCTTTTTTTCCCTTTCAAAAGGCAATTGGACTTGGTTTTTCCTTGAAGATATATCCTTTTATATATATATATATATAAATTATGTTTCTTTTAAGGGCGGTGTTTGGGGTTTTTTTAAAAAAAAATTGGAAGAGCATGATCTCAAACAGGAAGATAGTTTTGTGGTGCAAGCCTCTTGTTGAATAATATAATAACCCTCACTTCTAAAGTAACTGAAATGATATAAAGCCATGATGGCAAACCAGTCGCACACATGCCACAAGTGGCACACAGAGCCATTTGTGCTGGCACATGAGCTGCAGGCAAACCTACCTCACTGCATATGTGCTTGCCTCACAGCCGATTTTCGGCTGGTTTGAGGCCTTTTTCAGCCTCCCAAAGGCTTGAGGAAGGCTTCTGCAGGCTGAAAACTAGCCCCGTTTCATCACTTCCTGTTTTTCCGAAAATACTGGAAGTGACAAAACGGGGCTAGTTTTTGGCTTGCAGAAGCCTTCCTCAAGCCTTTGGG